TGAATAAATGCCTTATCAATGTATCATTTGAATGAACTGTCTGAAATATAATCATAACACGAAATTTTGAAGCACTTTTTTGAGAAGTAGCAACAAAAAAAACTGATTTTGAGGAAAAACGCCTTAAATTTTTGAGATTTTCCCTGTGAGCTAGCAAAGTTTTGTTTATTTTCAGCTGGGAAATCTCAATATTCAAATATAACTTGAGGTTTCCTCTTTATAAGGACATCAAAAATTCCTCATTAAAAGGACATAAAATTAGGATTCAGACCAAATATTTATGTATTATTGTAACCAACAAGACAAATTAAGTCATATTTATGGATTTAATTATGAAATCAGAATGATCCAAGTGTCAAAACGTAGCTTTTAAAGCTAAGACTCTGAAAATGTAATTAGATCATTTTGACCAAATTTGACTTAATCCTCATTTCGATATGATGGGTCACATATTACGAGAATGATGTCGTAATTTTAAGAGAAAAAAATCTTAATCTTCGACATGGACCTGCTCTAATGTGTGTCACTGGGTTTATGAAGTAGTTCGCAGTTACATTTGAGTCACTGTTAGTATAATATGCTTCCATCCACATTATGTGACGACTAAATCTGTCAACGCAGCCATTAATTGCATTACGGCTTCAGTTTATCATATGAATCCATATATCTGTTTGCACAATCGTCCTGTTACTGATAACAATTTGATGCTGATGTGATGAAAGATTAAGTATTTATTTGTAAATACCAATACCTAAAGTATAACTTCACAAGATGCTCAAAATTCTTCATTTTAATGCAGCCGTAAAGGCCYTGTCACACTATAACATTTTACACAACTTATGCCGACTTATGAAATGTATTTTAAGTCTAAATTAYCAATAAAAGTTATATATTTGATCAGTTTGTTAGCAGTACAGGATGTACATACCTAAAAGAGACTTCTAGTTGATTTTTTTATTACATCTTCAACGCAGATGACTTTAAAATTTTCAGAAGTTGGCATAAGTTGTCTAAAACGTTATAGTGTGRCAGGGCCTTTGGACTGCTCTGAGTTTCATAATATTGTGACTTTATTCTCGTATTATTATGACTTTTTTTCGAAGTAATAGGCTTTGACTTTATTCTCGTAATATTGCAACTTTATTCTCATTATAATACAATTTTATTCTTGTAATATTATGACTTTATTCATGTTATCTCGTGATTAAAAAAAAGTCTCTTATTCTGGCTCCAACAGTCCGTCCTAAAATTTTAGCAAAAAAACAGTCATACAAAAAAGAAACAATTATTAAAAAAAGATCAAACACATAAAGGAAGCATTTACCCAATATCTGAAAAACACTGCAAATAACTGCAACTCACAGTTAGCAAAGGAGAAGTGAAAAGACTAAACCATTTGTTTTAGAGTTGCAGGAAAAAACGACGCAGGGAAATTATAAAAGACGACTTGCTGTTCAAACTGAAATTCACCCAGGAGGGATGAACAAACACTTCTGATCTGATTTCAAAACAGACTTGAAAATATTACCTACAGAAGACAAAGACGGGACCGCGGGGACTCTATTATTAAGTGAGAGAGTCTTGACACTCTTACCTGTTTGCTGTCAAGGAGAAGTGGATCTTTAACTACAGCTGCTCCACAGAGCTCAACCATCCACTCCAATTCATCTGAGAACAACACAGAAAATTAGAATCGTCCCACAACTTCTTTTACCAACAAACAAACCTGCATTTAATTCTATTTACTGTTTAATGCCAGCGTTCAATCTCTTTAACGCCAAAAGGAACAAAAACAGGCTTTAAAAAGTAAATCAGTACAGGAAACGGGTCAATATAGATGTAAAGCCTGCTAATAATCCCTTTATGTTTCTTGGTTAAACGAGTGAAATTATGTTGTGCTGAAGAAAACAAAAATCCATCTCCGTGTTTGTGTCCCATATAAGAATGAAGTCTTTAAGCTAGCAGATGTCAACCCATTAGCAAAGCTTCATCGATCCAGCGAGCAGCAGGAAGATGCTGCAGGAGCACTTTAGGAGCTGCAGGAAGAAGGAAATCGCAGAATGCCACCTCATGGGTATCAAGCAATGTGTCCCCCTGAGACTATCCCCCATAATCTGGATCTATTCAAGCATACTGGAAGGGTAAGCAAAAAGTGACTACATATAAAGAACTGTCATTTTATAAAATCATTTTTATACGGCCATAGGAAAAAAAAAAAAGATGATTGTCTTCCTGCAACTAATAGCTCATATTTCTGCACAGAAATAGTTTTCAGGTACATTATTAACTCCATGGCAACTGCTGTGAAATGTGACAACAGACCAAAAACATTTCAAACAAGTCCTTAGTGTGTTTCAGTCCACCCACACGCTGGAATCACCAGTCATTGTTCGACATTGGTGAAATGACAGAGGTTAAAAACAGCACAGGTTTGCAGCTATTCTCAGTGTCAGTCAAAGGCCACGTGTTACTTCAGCCGTCCTTTTCCCTTCTGCAAAGCATGGCGGGTGTCTAACAAGAATCCTTCAGGACAATGCCATTAATAAGCATGTTTTGAGACAGGAGAACAGTGCAGCCCAAAAATATTAAAAAGGACTCATTAGGTGTTAAATTGTCTGTTTTGTTGGAAGTAATAAATAAAGGTTCTCAAAATAGCTCTTTTTATATGACGCGTTGCAACTCTTTTCTTATATCAGAGAAAGGTAGAGTACCCAAAAGTGGTACTTATGCCTGTCGCGATAGACAATAAATCAATTAATCGCACGATAACTTTTTTTGAGGTCGGTAAAAAAAAAAGACGGCGATAAGTTTCATTTTCCTGCTTGTTTTTTTACTTCGTCTCTCTCCCTCTCTGTGCTCCGCTGCACAGGAGCTCAGCTGACCCCTCCCCTCCTGTTTTCTCAGTGTGGGAGGAGTGAACTCTCGCTTTAGCTTGAGAGCTCGTTCCTAAAGAAACGCTTCAAAGCAAGAACGCGGCTGCTGAAGTGTCAGGGAGGACTAGAGCCTGGATTTAGCTGCGGAGGGAGGGAGGGAGAGAGAGACGGAGTGAGACAGAGAGAGAGAGAGAAAGAGAGAGAGAGAGAGAAAGAGGGAGAGGAGTGGGGGCTGAAACTCCCCCAGACCCGCGACAAACTCGTCAAGACTTTACCTGTAGCTCCCAAAAATAACAGGAAACTTAAACGCATCATCTGTGTTTTAACAAAAAAACCCAAAAAACCTGTAGCTGTCCCAACAACTCATGAGGAAAACTCTGAACTGTCTGATTTCCTCCCCGCAGCGCTCTGACTGTCCCCTCCTCACACACACACACACACACGTTTGTTCTTCTATCCTCATGGGGACTTTGCATTGACTTTCATTCATTTACCAGTATTTCCTATTACCATTTGACCCTAAACCTAGCCTACACTTTACATGGGATGTGAACTGGGCTTATGTCCCCATAAGAAACAGTGGGTCCTCACCAGGCTGTGTAGTTTGCTTCATCTCTAAAGACATGCTGCTCTTTAATATTGTTTATTTACTGTCTTAGTTGTGTGTGGTGTTTAATTTACATTTTGTTGTTCTTTGTTTTATTTTTTTTATTCAAGTGCATTTTTTGTTAGAGACTGAGTCCACTTTGTTAAACATTCTTTTAAAAATGAAAGTTTATTGATTTATTACACTTACACATTACGCTTTTATAATTATTAGTTGTAAAACGGTCACCAGGCAATATTATCGCTTATCGCAATAAATTTTGCGACAATTAATCGCCCAGCAAAATTTGTTATCGTGACAGGCCTAGTGGTACTCAAGTAAGAGTAGCACTACTGCAACATATTTTACTCAAGCAAAAGTAAGAATTAGCTGTCCATTACTCAAGTGTAAAAAAGTATTTTGTAAAAGGCTACTTGAGTACTGAGTAACTAATTATAACATCTGCTTTAATTTTTTTTAAAAGACTGACAAATACTAGGAAGTTATGTGCAAATTCTGGTGTTCTGAACAAACAAAATGAAGAAAATTATAACATAATTACAAAATAACAAATTACAGCAGAATAAATACTTTTCCAAGTCAATTTTTTCTCATTATGAAACTTATGACATGAATACAGTTGTAATGTGTGTAAGGTACTTCCAGTGACTATATCTACTGTTTACCATGTATTCACTTCAACTACAGATGTGTCAGCAGATGGAAAATGGCAACAATAAAGCTTGTGTAAAACTAGAGAAGTTGAATGCTTATTATTGAAAGATTTTTTAATGAAAGTTGCTGAAGTCAAGTTAAAGTAGCTAAAATTAGCAAATTGAAACTAAAAGTAGCAAAAACTAGTTGAAATGAAAAAGAAGTTTAAAAAGCAGACAGTAGAGCAAAGAAGCAGTGTTTGCTGAATTAAGCAGTAAGAAACTAAAATGATTACGGAAGTGAAATTAGCTGAAAAAATAAGCTAAAATTAGCTGAAAATAGCTCAAATGTAGCTAAAGAGGGAGTAGACAGCTGCAGTTTACATAAAGATGCTGAAAGAAGCACAAAAATGAATAAATTAGGTGAAAGAAACATAAAACAGTTGAAATTGGCAGAAGAATAGCTGAAAGGAGCAGCGTATTAGCTGTAAAGCAGAAAAAAGCTAAAATTAGGAGAAAAAAAATAGAAGCAAATGTGGCTGATATTAGCACAAAGAAAGTAACATAGCAGAACCAGAACAAAATGTGTGAAAAAAAGTGCAGCAAACATAAATAAACATTTTGACAGAAATGGAAGAAAAAGCTGAATATCTGAAAAATGATAAATTGCTGAAATATCAAGTCATAGCCAGAATGTCCTGAAGCAGGTGAACAGAACCTGAACAGATAAATGGATCTTTTTAATAGTGTAACATTCACACAACAGGTCTCACTTCAACATAAACTGTAGGTGTGTGTCTCTGGTGCATTTCACATTAAAATATGTTGGTTCTTAATTCAGTGAAGTTACTTACGGTGGGTAGAGTATTCAAAATTTCACTAAAGAAAGTGTAGTGATACTTCATAATGTTACAAAATTATAGTAAAATCATGATGTAGTAAAACAACTCCTAAAAGTATATTTTCAAGTACACTGAGTAAATGTAACATGTTATTACCCACCTCTGTCCTATACCATACAGAGAACAGTGTGGTGCTTAAACGCACCTGTAGACATGTCTGTAAAAGGTCCTTGGAAGCAGATCTTGTAGCCTTTCATGAGGAGCTGAAGACAAAAAGAAATACTGGGTGAGAACACAATTTGCTTCTTGTGAAGTGTCTGCAAAGCTGCAGATAACTTCAAGGACTTTTATTCAGCGATTTTAACCTTCAGACAACATTCATCGGCAGTGTGTAAAAGCAACCATTACTTCCATTACCATCACAGCAGAGTGTGTTTCTGAACTCTTCACCTGTGTAAAGGGTTGCACTGGTGCAGCTCGAGCACTTCTAGATTTATCCTACAATTTAAAGCCAATACGCCTCGATTACAGTTTAAAATAAAGCCTCTAGACCTTGCTCACGTTTTGCTCCCTTAGTTAACACTGTAAATTTAGGGATGAGTCAAACAGCCACCTTCGCCGAGGTAATATCACGCCTGAAGCACATGGGGAAAACGACATGCCTGAGACCAGGGACGCCTTGTTTTATTACGCTCAGGGTCAATAGGCTTTTCTGAGATGGGAATGGAAACGTGTTCCCTTGGAGGGACCGCAGCAGAGGAAACTCACATCACAGCCTCATTTAAAGCGTGTAGCTGGATGGAAGTGTTTGAAAGATAAAAATGTGGACAGAAATAATTTGCCTCACCTTCCTGTAGGTTAGTGATGATCATTAGCCTGAGGTGTTAGGTGACTCACAAGAATGTCTCTGTTACAGATTTTTAATTTAGACAACAGCTAATGTCCTTCAGGAGGTTTGAAAGTGCAACAAAAGTGCAACAAAAGCACACACACGCAAACACACAGACTCAGAGGTTCTTTGATTTCCTGACCATCTACATTCTGGTGACGTGTTGGTCTGCCGCGCTGGTTTCTGTCGGGCTCCATCAAAGTGTCGGCACTTCATTCAAGCCTCTTAAATAAGCCTGAAATTAGTGGCTAATTCAATTAGGAGGGTTTTTTCAAAGGCAGGAATACAACCGACATGACATGTAGCCATTTCTAATTTTCCCCCTCAGTGGTGGCAGAGCCAGCYTGCGCTGGCGTTACACCAAGAGGAAAAACACAATTAGCTTTTCACAACAGGGTGTGAGCAGAGAGGCTGGTGCAATAGGACGAAACGAGTTTAAGCCCTCCTTGTGATTGGGGTATTTGATCTGCACAGAATCAGACAAGTTCTTTGTGGTCAAAGGCTGTTTTTTTTACAGCCAACGGTTATGGCAGTAGGTGTCAATAATTGCAGTACTTAATGATAGTTTGGTTTTAAAAATGCTAAATCGTTTAGCTATGAGTGTTGAGGAGTCGAGATCAGGAGGAGCGGCTGGCCGCCTCTTCATCACATTACATTCTGGACTATTATAGAGTGTTCTGATAGAATGAAGTGAGGTGGAAAATAATGTCAGTCATCCTGATAAATGCTTTGGAGGGCCACAGGCTCAAAGAAATGGAGAGCTTTGATTTATTGATATGGTAATAAAGAGGGAGAGGTGGGTGCCTCATCACTAGATACATGTCTGTGTTTTTGGCTGACAGCACTGCTACAATTTCTACTAAATTACTTCTTAATAAGAGCTCTCTTAGAGCCAGGTGCCCAAAGATGAATCCTGCCAGCCATCAGAAGATTTGAGAGGCATGATGGGTATGACATCCCTCTTATGAGCAAAATGACATAAAAAGTCCCCCCCCCCCCCCCCCCCCCCCCCCCCCCCCCCCGCACACTAACAGAACAAAACAGGGGAGGTAATAAGTTGCATATTTATGACAGTCTGGACCACTGGTTGTCAAATTTTATGAAAAAACAGCATATATGCATAAAAACCAGGATTTTTAATTTCATTAACCTAAATCTAAAAAAAAAAATCTGATTTCCATCAATAAAAGGTAGTGTGACCTAACCTGACTCCTGTCAGGTGACAGCACATATCAATCATTGTCACTGCCATCTGGGAAACCCACGTAGCACAAACAAATGGGATAAAAGAAGCTTTTATGTCTTAAACTTTAAGTTCTAATGTGAGAAAATCTGTAATATTTTCTTAAAACTAAATTTTGCTTGTAACGTAAGAGAAAAGAAAAATAGCTGCTGAAGTTATTTGTGACGTGTCGCGTCAAATCAGGGATTATCTGATATTTGGTCAAACTAAGCTACGGTAAGCACATTTCTAGATTCCTGGCTTTTTAAGCTACATCTTGATAATCCTGATATCATGAGTGATTCCAGAGATACGGCATAACTTATTTTGCTAATTGGGAAGACCCTTGGATAATGAGGTTGAATCCTATTTTTTAGCTAATTCTACAATGAGGACTTTTCAATTTTATTTTAAAGAGGAAACCTTAAACCATATGTGGATATGGGGATTTCCCAGCTGGTATTGAAAATAGCTTTGCTAGCATGCAGGGAAAGTAGCAACAACTTTAGACTTTTCTGCTTAAAATGAACAATAATCAAAAAATGTGCTTTCTTTAGGATTTTATTCCTTCCTTAAGAAAACCCATAGATAACATATTCATTTATCATATTTTGACAAAATACATTTAGTATCTAAAATGTTTCAACCAGTGCACTATAGCTGTGTATATATCTCAAAACTCTACTGGCAAATAAATCCTCAGTCTGATGTGACAGGTCACATACTTGCAAATTGTTGTAGGAAATATACCATAACTTCATTGAAAGAAGTGTCACTCAACAATCTTATCTGCAAAAACAGAATTTTCTTATTCAGAAAAACATCCAATATGCAAATACAAAGCGTAGTGTAATTACTCACATTATTTGCTTCTGTGTTTCGAGCTCTTGAGGGACCCTGGTGATTTGGCCCATTCACCACATCACCTCTCACTTCAAATGGACTCTGGTTATAAAAAGTAAAAAAAAAAACTTCAGCTTATAAACATAGATCTCATTCATAGTTCTTCTAAGGAAACCCTGCAATTAATACCTTTTATTTAAGCAAGTAAAACTATTGATAAAATAAAGACAAAATAAGATACAGGGTTTATTAACTATACTTTTTGTTGCTTTTCTGTATTATTTCAACAAACAGAAAAAGTTTCTCAAGTCCACTGATTATTCTTACGTTTGACATTGTTAGCCTTAGATTTGTATGTAAAACATTTCTTTACACAGTATATGATGCATGAAAACAGTTTGAAATTAATGGCGATGCTGAACAAAGCCAGCTAAAACAATTACACCCGCATTTCACAAAACAAGTTGCTGTAAAACGATATGGCAAATAATGGATGAGGTATCACGATAAACCCTGCAGAGAGATTCATCAACGATGTAGCTGGGAGTTTCAGGCAGAGAAATTCACAGATAAGCATACCTCATCAAGGAGTTTCTTTTGTTTGAAGCATTCAGAAATCCCTGCGGAGAGAAAATAAGCACAAAAACATGGTTTTATTGTAAGAAATACAAACATTTTAATGGTGGTTTCAACATGACAGAACCTCTTTATTTCAGTCTTCTCTTCCACATGATCTACTTTGAATGGCGACTAATTGTTCTGAATTCATCACTGATGAAACCTGATATAAAATAAAAGTTCTACTTACACTGGAAGCTGACCACCCACTTCCTGCCTGCGATGCCAAGGAAGTATTTCAGTGTGCGCTCACACACTAGCTGCTCATCTGTACAGACATGAAACATTATGAATGCATGTATCCTTTCATAKAAGTCATTTTGTTAAAGCTCATGTGTCACCAAAGATGTTTCATTGGTTGTTCTGATATCCACTAATAATAAATATTTTACTTCTGACATTTCAAGGTGTTTTCCATAAATGTATGCTAAAAAAAACAAATCTAATGATCTCAGTCACAAATAGTTTACAGGGGAAGTTCCAAAGAAGAAAAGTTAAAATAATATTCAAAAAATTGGGCTTGAAGAAGGTGTTTGACCATGTTCCTCGAGGTACACTGTGGGGCGTGCTCTGTGAGTACAGGATCATGGGTCCATTATTATAGGCCATTCAGTCCCTATAAGCGGTACAAGAGCTTGGTTCACATTGCCGGTAGTAAGTCAACCCCCTTCGGGGTGGGTATTGGACTCTGCCCGTTGTGACCAATTTTGTTCATAACTTTTATTGACAGAATTTCTCGGTGCAGCCAGGGGGTGGAGGGAGTCCGGTTCGGTGGCCTCAGGATTTCATTTCTGCTGTTTGCAGATGATGTGGTTCTGTTGGCGTCATCACACCATCATCTTCAGCTCTCACTTGGAGCGGTTCGCAGCTGAGTGTGAAGCAGCACCTCTAAATCTGAGTTTATAGTCCTCAGTCGGAAAAGGGTGGATTGCTCTCTCCGGGTTGGGGGTGAGGTTCTGCCTAAAGTGGATGAGTACAGGTATCTTGAGGTTTTGTTCAGGAGTGAGGGAAGAATGGAGCACGAGATTGACAAACGGATCAATGGAGATTCCACGGCATTATGGACTCTGTACCGGTCTGTAGTGGTGAAGAGGGAGCTGAGCTGTAATCCAAAGCTCTCTGTTTACCAATCAGTCCAAGTTCCTACCCTCACCTATTGCCACGATCTTTGGGTAGTAACAGAAAGAACAAGACCGCGGACACAGGCAGTCGAAATGAGTTTTTTCTGAAGGTARACTCTCCCTTAGAGATAGGGTGAGAAGTTCAGTTATCCAGGAGAGACTCAGGSTWGAGACGCTGCTTCTCCATTTCAAGAGGACCTAGTTTAGGTGGTTCATTTAGTAAGGATACTTCCTAGAGAGATGCTTCAGGCATATCTGATTGAGAGGAGACCCCAGGGAAGACTGGTTTGGGAAACAGAGGTCTAGGCCTCCCTGCTCAAGCTGCTGTCCCTGCAACATGACTCRGAATAAGCGGAAGATAATGAATGGATGRATAAAYGGACCACAACAGAATAAATGTACACAGTAGAGGGATTTTCTGCCAGTCTTTGTGCTAAAGAGTCCTTTGACAAACTAAAATGTAAGTTACAAAAGTACAAAAAGTTTAAATCTCATTTTCTGTCAAATGTTAAGTGTTTGTCTTGATGGCACACCAGATACAGGTTTAATTATTCAGAACTTTTTTATGCTAAATGTTAAAATGGAAAGTCTCCTGCTACTTTAAAAAATTTAACCATAAACTTGAACTTGGCTCAGTGCTCACAGTTTTTTTTGGGTTGCCCAGGAAACAGCTTTCACTAAAAAAATGTACTGTGCTTTTAGTCAATATACTGCTTTACAGACAGTAAGTTTGAAATAAAAATTWAAAAAAATCTATCAGAAAGGGTAATTAGCAACAAGCAGACAAATGCAGCGGTGTGTTTGTGTGTGGGTGAGACAGAAAGTTTTTTTAAGATAAGAAATAAAAACAGACGAAAACATTCTTTTTTAAGAAAATAGGAAAAAGGGGAACTTGGATGGATAGATGATAGATGGATGGATGGATGGATGACAGAGGGATGGATGGATGACAGAGGGATGGATGGGTGGATGGATGACAGATGGATGGGTGGGTGGCTGGATGGATGACAAAGGGATGGATGGATGGATGGATGGATGGATAACAGAGGGATGGGTGGATGGATGGATGGATGGATGACAGAGGGATGGAAGGGTGGATGGATGGATGACAGAGGGATGGAAGGATGGAGGGATAGAGGGATGGATAGTTGAATGGGTGGATGGATGGATGGATGACAGATGGATGATGGATGGATGGATGGATGGATGGATGACAGAGGGATGGATGGATGGATGGATGGAGAGGGATGGATGGATGAGGGACGGATGGATAGGTGGGTGGGTGTACAGATGCATGAATGGGTGGATTGATGGATAAGAATGTGGATGGATCAATGAGTGGTTGAGTAGATGGATAGGTGGATGATAGATAGGTGGGTGGCTGGGTTGATAAATAGATGAATGGATTGGTGGTTAGGTAGATAATATCCTTACTAAATACATTAAGTACTGTACTTCAGTATGTACTGTGGAATGAAGGTACTTACCTGTACGCATTATGATATGAGTCACCTCTGGAGTCACTTGGGAAACCACACGGGCCCCAATTCTCTTGGCAAACTTCTTCACCAATATCTGTTATCAACATCTGATCAGTTCATGTTTTCTATAAATGACTGTGGTCAATAAAAAAACTTGAACAGGTACCTGCTCAGCGGTGCCCAGTCCAGACGATACAAGAACCAGCTTAACATTACGCCTTTCAGTCGGAGGACTGTTATTTTCTTTGTTCTCTTGCYCATCTGATGGGGAATCACAGCCTTTGATGGTTTTGGCTGCAGAGGTCGAATTAGGCGTCTTAGACATGTTTGTGTCTTTTACWGCCGATACTGTGTGTTGGGAAACAGAGGGAAAAAAAATCTGTATCTGATACACAATAACAACAACAACTCATTCTTTAAARTCAAACAAACACATCTTGTTTAACTCCAACACAGAGCCTAACTGTATTAAGGACACAATCAGGACACAGAGCAGCACAGAGCCAGCTGTATGCAGATAACTTACAGTAAATCATGCTGACAGGCTAATATTTTAAGAAGCACAGAAGAGCCACTTCTCCCAGTGGCAGTTACCATTCAAATTACACTTTGGGAGATTTATTAGGCCGATTATTTCCGTTTTTCAAATAATCTTTATTCAATTCATTTCATTTGTTATTTAAAAGGACAGTACACATTAATTGTTATTCAGAGGAATATAAATGCACTGGACATATCACAATGGCTAAGAGTATGCACATAATGGAAGTTAACTGGAATATTACACAAACGTTTGAAAGAATGTCATATCTACCTGTGAAAATGGTAGAGCCTTAGGTTTTAAATATCTTTGAGGACACTTGGAAGATTTTAGACCTTTTGTTATCCTGCCATTAACACACACTGCTGTAAGCATTGGCCCAAATTTCTTTAATTAGTTTCTTKTTTTGGAAGTCTGACTGTAATGTGCACAAAAAATAAACCATTATAGTCAGGAGCCATAACTAAACCAAATCAAAATTATATTGGCCAAACGCTTTTCTGATTACAAATAATTGGTGCTGTCYTCAAAAAAATCTGTATTGGTCGACATCTAATTTTAAAACATGGTTGATGTGCTTTAATATGGTGACACCTTTTATCTTAACACTAGACTAGACATGGGTTTTTACGATGTAAAAACAAGTGTGCATTGCCACGTAGCATGTCATTGCAGCATGGCTTTGCCTGCAGCATTGGACTTGCAGAAAGAACTTTGACCAAGTTCAAATGTGTTTTCTATACCAGCTTGTGGCTGTCACGTCAGCAGGTGTTTGTAATTAAGGTAATTGTGTGACAATATGAAGTTTGAAGTGGTTTTTTGTTAAAGTTGCGTTAACTGGGTTTTGAACCCTGATCTCCCA